TTTTTATATGCAGATTGGGAACCTTTCTAAGAGTGTAACATAAAAAATGGCAATAGGCAGTCCTACAAGTAACTGTACCCAGTCATATTTTACCCAGAGATAAAACTGGGGTGAATGAATTTGCCAGTTTCAGTTTTCTTCTTTTCATGTTTCCAGTCTAAAGTCTGATATAACTTGAGCTTTGCAGTTATTTATGCAATCATAAGCTTGGGTTATTGCAAATGTTGAGGATTATTTTTAAATTTGCATGAAAATTCATAAACATTTTTGTATCTATGTCTCAATGTATGCATTTTGTCCAATATATACTTTTTGCAAGCAAGTTATCTAATTCATTTTAAATGTTACTTTATGTATTGTAAAATACAATGTGTATTGTATGTGCATTTTTGATGGGAGAATTCTACTGAAAAACTTGGAGAACTGAATTTCAAAGGAGAAAGGTGTTTCAGTTCTAATAGTGCAAAAGTGCAAAGTTAGGTGAGTTCAGATTAACATGAGAAAGGAACATCCCTTTTCCCCATCCCTTTCACAGTTGCTGTGAAGACAGACCTCTCTACAAAGGGAACTCCGCATGTTGGGAACAGCAGTCCATTTACTGGCTTTTTGATTCCAGTCCTTTTCTTATTTGGTTCCAGCCCACCAAGAGATTATTTGTTATGTATCTTAGGCAAACTGAAAATATGGCAAGATGGTGGATTTCAGAAGGGAAACAAAAGAAAAGGGCATGAGGATTTAGCACTCCTTCCCCTCACTGCTTCTCTCCTGAAAATAATGATTTCACCCACCCTTCTTTTGCACATCTGGCAGCAAGCATATAATGGTCTTTCCAATGTTTGTTGATAAAGTAAAAGTTTGACCATGAAGAAAAGGGGTTATTCATACCAATGAACAGAAACAAACAACTCCTTTCACGTCTTTCTCTTTCTTTTGCATACACTTACACACAGGATTAAAGCCAAAAGAACAACTGACAACACATAGGAGTTCAGTTATACCAGTATGAATGAACCTTCTTTAAAAGACTACTGGACCACCCTGTATTCAGTCATCTGCATTTAATTTTGAAAGCTATTTGTAATGTAAAAAAATCTACAGGACTATTATGTTCAAAATGATTGGCATTGTCTGAGTAATATATTATTCTGATAGCCTTGCTGCCTTCATAAATGTTAGTTCCACTTCTACTGTTCTATAATAAATGGTCCCAGCTGTTGCCATGGCAATTCATTTTTTTTTTTAATGTGTCAACGTGAAAACATGAAAAGCAGCTGCTATGACAAGGATACTAAATAAACCCAGATGCAGATCGTGTTCTTGTTTCTAGTAATAATGATGCCTGGAATGCTTGATCTGGCCTATATAATGGCAGAATTGAGGACAGGGACTTTGTGATGGATAGCCAGGTTCAGACTATGAGTCAAAAAAATTAGCATCATAGAAGCTTTCCAAGGTATGGCTAATTAAATTTCTGCGCTACAGTCTGCTGGTGAAGGAACACAGCTTTATATGGAGTGGAAGAGGAATTATGAAGCTTTTGGGTAAATGTGTGCAGCAGTCAGTGTTGGCCAAATAGTCCCCACCCTGAGGGAAGCCATAGCCATTGCCAGCTCTAGCATGGCTTTCGCCATGGTGCATTCCTGAAGCCCCATAATGGTGGGTTTCTCTCTCTCTGTCTCCCAGATTACTCTTTCTTCCCCAGTTTCAAACTGTATCAACTGCTGAACTAAACTGATTAGGGAAGCCCCCCACTTACTGACAGAAAATGGTACTGCAGGTTTCAAGCTAGTTGACACATTTTAATGAAAATGAATGCATTTTAAAAACTAAATAATCCTGAGGCACACACCTCAAGGGTCCCTTTAGCATGCATGCCAAGTTTCAGGAGTCTAGCACTTAAAATCTTAGTATTATGCCACAGACAGACAGACAACAGACAGACAAAGATGTATATTTTAT